AAGAAATATACAAATCTTGAATTTTGTTTTTTTTTTTTTTAATTTCTTTTGCCTTATTTTTTTTTGTGCATGTTTGAAGTTTTTTCTATTGGTGCCTTTTTCCAATCTGCCATTTGATAATTAATTGAACATTACAATGATGACATTGCTATGTGTTATATATTTAATTACAACCATGACTTTTCCAATTTAACTATAAATTCATATAAGTTCAGAGTGTCTGGCATTGGAGGTGATTCGTGAAAGCTTGTAACTTAAAACTTTATTGAGTACCTTTATCTTGCATGCAGAGGTCCAAATTGCTATAAAATATGTGGTTGTGAAATAAAATATCTATATTACGAGTAATAGAGATGATTCCATGTTATATACCATAGTTGTGAAATTTGCTTTGAGAGAATAAGTCGTGGCTTCTCAAATATTATCAAGGATTTGCAATGATATTTTGTTTTTTATTCCATCATAATAGATTTTTAAGTAAGTAATATTAGACAAAAATTTACTCTTGAGGCAAAAATTTATCTTTTACTAGTTCAAACAACACTCAAGAACGTCAATAATGATCCATTCTTTGTCTTTGATTTGTATGGTTATTGCAGTTAAATCAAAATCTTTATAAGTTTTTTTCTTTCTATATTATAGAATTAATATTGAAAAAATTTAGATGCTACTATTTCTATTACAAAGATACTCTTGAAAATGATTTAATTATATAAAAAAATAGTGAAAAATGGATTAAATAGGAAGCTGGATAAATACAAACCTTCATATTTCCATTTCCATGGCTATCTATTGATTTTCATAAGAATCGATACTCTCATTGATCATTGTATCATAGTATCTATTTTGTAGAAGAAACAATAGAACTTATATTCATTTTCATAATAAAATTGGTCAATTTAGCAACTATCATGATCCTTTCTTTTTTATGAATGTTTTTAGATATCAAGCATATAATGCATTAAAGAATGTCCATTGGTGGTGCCAGCACTTGTGCCATTATATAGCCACAATCAATTTAAAAATTTGCTTACTAGTTTGTTATATAAATGCCTTAATATGGCCAAATCCATCTCTGTGTATAGTCGCTATGTAGTATTGGATCTAGTATTTTCTAACCATCCAACAAGGTTGTCAAGAGTTGCTACACTAGGCACTATTTGGCCACTCTTATAAGCTCTTTCAAGTCTAATCCTACCATTTTATAAGATGCTTATTAGCACCAATCAATGGAGACCATTATAGTATTGTAGTTTGGCTACCATATAAAAATAATGCATATATATATATATATATATATATATATATATATATATATAATTTATTAAATAATATAGTGAGAGCCACATTATTAGATTTTATTTGGTTACAAAATGTAATTAGATTACTACTTTGAAATAATTAGTCCAAAAAGACTATTATTGAAGTTGATTTTTATATCAATAATAGCTTTTATATATTTAGAGCTATTTTTATTAAACATTGGTGATTATTAAAATCTTGTTTTTTATTTTATTTGATATTTAGCATATATATTATATAAAACTTATTAAAAAAAAGATTAGAGAAGGATTTTTATATAAAAAGAGGTAGTTATGTCATTTATATGAATGAATGGAGATGGATGATTTAGAGATTTTGTGAGGGAGATTTGGAGATTTGAAAATTTTGTATGATTTGGAGATTTTATGAGGGAGAAATAGATGTTCAAAGTCAAGGTGTCGTTTTTGTATCTACTGTCACTCTTAATGGCATAATGCACATATATGAAAGGCTTTTGAAGATCAAATTGTGTAGTTAAAAATTTAGTTTAAAGGAATATATTTTACATATAAAAAGCAAAAGTTTTGGATTTGATTAGGAAGAGCAAAGACTTCTTGAAGACAGTGCTTCTAAATTAAAGTTTGTCAATGAATCAATTTCATGAGGGATCTAGTTCTTGCCATATTTTGGACATTTAGATGAATCTTTGGCTAAAATTTTCCAAAAATGTGTATTATTATGTTTTAAAGCTACATATTAAATTTTGTCTCATTAAAATTTTGGATTTTTGAGATATGAAGAAAATAGTACCTGGGTGCTTATAAATTAGGGTTTAGAACATCTTCTAGGGTTTCTAAGATGCTAGATAATCTATAATAAATTTAAGGTTTATTTTTTTGTGGTGAAGATTAAAGATAAATGCTACATTATCTAGAAATTTAAAAAAAAAATAATGGTTGGATCAAGAGAAATGAAATTCTAAAATTTGGAGAGAAGAAAAAATTATGGAAAAAAAAATTTTTGAAGGGGTTTTGCTACAATTTGAGCATATTATGCTAAGTAAAAGGTTTTTGGGAGCCAAGACTTGATATATATGTTAAAGATGGAGATATAGAGCTATGATAAAATTATGATTTAACGATGAGTTTTTGAAAGGAGATTATGGATTTTTTTTGAAATTATTAAAAATCTAACTTACTTACAAATGATTAATTATGATTTGGTACAGCAAAAGATATTAGGGAATTTCTAGATGCTCTTGAAAACCTTATATACAAACCTTCTTAAATATAAAAGGTTTTACTAATAGAATTTTTTTTGATATTGTTGCATTTATTTGTCCTCTATATTAAGAATAAATCACTTATTGGAGCTTGGCCAATAAGTTGAAGCTAAACTTTCTAAAGATGGTATCCAATGTATTTTCAGATCATAAATCACACCATACAACATCATGCTAGGGCTGCCCTAGTGCATATACCATACTGCCATGCCATCCATCAAGATGGTGCGAGGATTAGGACTAACCAATGCGGATGCTCTTAGGAATTGCAAAAAATTTATTATCAAATTAGAATTGTTTCATTTATATTAAAAGACACCATGTCGCTTTATATCATGATATATATATATATATATATATATATGAAGTTTTTAAAGCTTCTTATTTAAACCTATGTCGCTATTTCTATAATATTTTATATATTTCTTTTTGGCATTGTATATCATCTCTCAATTGATTCAATGCCAAATTATTTCAATTATACATCAAATTACTCTATTGCAAAATGATATGGTTTTAGGGAATTGATATTTCCACCCAACATTGTGTTGCATCTACCAAACTCTCATTGTTGTATTTCAATAGCAACCTTTATTTGTGCATTTTAGAAAATTTTATAATTTGTTGAGATTTATGTCAAAGAAGTTGTGGGGCACAAGTGCCAAACCTTGTTGCTGAAACATCCTGCTGTGTGAGATTTCATTGTCAACAAAGACAAAGGGCTGATCCATTGAAGCATTGATCAAAGCAAAACCAATTTTGAATGCATAACAAAACAACAATGATATGGGGGGTACATCACAATGCTAGGTAAAAACAATAGCAATGTGGTAGGTGCATCATATTGTTAGGTGAAAAGAATAAAATTCTAAGTAGAAATATTAATTTTCTAATTTTATGTGGTTATTAAATACTTCCATTTTATGTTGTATTAAGATACTAATTTTTATATGTAGATTGCAAGAAAAATAATTATCATAAAATTAAATAAAATTTATATTATTTTTAATAATATTTTCTAAAATATCTAGAAGATAATTTTATATTATATATATATGAAAGAGAACCTACTTACAAAACTAAATGAGTATTGAATACTGATCAAATGGTATAATCCTTTATCATATACAAACTACAATATCACAGTTTCAGTACAAAATTGTGAATATTTGTTATGAGATTGATTGAATTTTGTAAAATATGACGAAAAAAAGTTAGAAGTAAGATATTTTGATTCACAAATGCTGAAATGTTATTTTGATTTTATCCAAATATTGAAAAGAACACTGTAATAAATGTATTCTTTGTTCAACAAAAATTTCAATGTGTTTACTTATGTGTCAAATTAATGAAATGTACATATTACCAATCTCAATTGATATTCACAAAAAAAATATTTTTTATAAAGATATGTTGATGTATTCAAGAAAATCAAAGTTTTTTACATTTATCAACATCAGGTTCAAAATCATGTCCAATGTTTTTTTTGGATTCTTTCTTTTTTCTTTCATTCTTTTCTTGCATGTGTCTGTGTGTGTGCGTGTATATATATATATATATATTTTTTTAATGCACAAACACCTGTGAAACACTGGTTTTGTATGTACACTAAATTCAGTTCTTCTACCAAATGTTTTCAAATAATAGCTTTTTTACCAGGAATACACTTTGAAATAACATTGAACAGACATTTATTTGCAACAAGCAATGCACTTCTGGATAGTTCTTTCATAACAATTATGCCAAAGCATGGATGTAAATACACTTCACATTTACTGCTAGTGTATAAGATTATCATTAATGCAATGGACATGGTCCAATATTTAGTAACCGTCAAAGTTAATGTCGTAAACAGGGTATTGTTTGATTTGGCACCCCAACTAAAATAAAGTGATACATCTCATTTTTTTTTACACGCTATTAAGCACATAATACAGTTAGCCCTTAGTTGAAGAAAAACGACTATTTTTAACTTGCAATTACGTACAATAGTTAATTTGGTCACTATTTGGCAAGTATGCAAACCCAACCCTCCATCGATGCAACGTATGCTACACCTCTATCAATACAGGTGTTATAACATAGACCACAGTAGCCTTACAACATTATTTCATTACACATATCGGTACATATAACCAATGTTATACTACATTTAATGAATGTTCACAATGTCTCGAAGAACAATTCGATCGCAAAAAATCGTTCATGAAAAGATGATTGTTTAGACTCGAAAATTTTACAACACGTATCACTAACATCACTTATAATTACATAGACTAGTGGCAGGATTAAATCATGTTGACTGGTTTACAATATTTCCAGTACTTCAATGACATTATTATCCTAGGAAACTCTATGGTGACGAACCTGTTAATTGTTGCGTACCCACAGCAGGCAGAAAGTAATCTACGTCTACACATGCAGTGTTTCAGATGGATCGAATAATCACAAGTACTTCAAAACTGAACTCAAGCGTGCCATAGTTGACTCTAAAATTCCGTCCATACATTGGACGTTTTAGAAAGTATGATACATCACGGAAGCTGGCTCATCATTCAGCTTCACCTACAATTTCCACATTTGACAGTGGTAAAAATTTCTAGCGTGGTGCCATGCCCCAAAATGTATCTGATCTCGGCTATATGTTAGAAGTAATGGGTACCAGTTTAAACAGGCTCCTAATAAACAAGAACCTCTCTACAAGATTCCAACAAGGGCATGTACACAAGAGGGCATTGCACCTCAGGCGACAATATGTATCTGAAAAATCGTACAGGCTTCAGAAGCATTACTTCGAATCTCAAGTTACAGAGCTCCTCCTTGACAAAATTCTGCTTCATTGAAGAGGACTCGATGCGACGCAATTGCCTTGAACGTCGGCCGAGGGAGACCAGGGGGCCTGTGCGGAGTATCTCTGGGCCCTTGAAACAATGGAGCAACGACTGTCTTCATTTCAGACAATGGAATCCGAACATGTGGTGGCTTAGGTCCATGTCTTGGAGCCTGTGGCGTTGGGGGTCGCACATCCAGCACTCCTCCAGGTGCTTCACTAAAGCTTCAGAAAGACAAGAAAAGCCATCAGCATTCAAACAACATGTCACCCGAACCATTATCAAACATTAATACCTTGCAAGGACATGAAACAAGTTCGGATTTTGGATCAGAGACAGGCGGGGTTCAAAACAAGCGTAACTAACCTTAAGTAAAAATCCCGGTAGCGCTTGGGGGTGCACAAACTAATGGTTTTTTGTCTCTCGAAGTCGGGGGTAGTGAAGTTGAAGTGCATTTCCCTGGCAATATTAACCTGCACAACAGACCAGTGAAGTCCAAATCAGCATAACCAAACAAGGGGAGGCCGCATACCCGAGCAACCCACCCCACGCGTAGCATGAATGCCGACATTGTAGACAACCTAGGAGGCTACAACACGTACATGCAAGTCGACTAGCATAAGACACTACGCTTACCGCTTCTTGCAGGGACCTACAGACGTGGAAGACGGGTTTCAGTTGGTCATGGTGAAGTCTACAAACAATGTGTACCTGCGTAACATTGCGTAGCACATTGTCAGAACACACAATGAACGGACAAGTATACCTTACTGGTGTTGTAGAAGCAAGATCATATCCTAGGGTTGTTTACAGGACAACAAGAGTAAGGAGATGAGCCGTACCAGTAGCTCAACCGGCAGCCCTTCCAAAGGTGATTCGGATTGGGATGGGAAATCTACTTCATGCATGGGATCCCGCACCACTGTCAACTGCGAAGCGGGGGTCAGTGGAGTTCTAGGTGCCACTAACTTTTTCCTCTGGGGATATGCAGGTCCAAACACTTGTAACGTAGGAACTGGAGAACTCAAAGATGGTGCAGTCGAATCCGTCACGTTTGCAACCTCCAATGCAGAGGAGTTTTTCCTGAAGATGCTATTTCCAATTTTATTCTTCTTTCTAAGCGCATTAGTCATACGAGATTTCTTATGCTCATCCACTAATTTTGCCAGTTGTCCTGGCCTAAGATACTTTCGTCTCCGGGGCACCTGCGTTTGAGTATCCATACTGTGTTCTAAGCCTTGGATCCTCTGCTCACTTATAGAACTTACTTTAATACCAGACACCATCACAATATCAGACCTCAATGCACGCCCACTGCAAGGGAAACAAAGTGCACAGTTTAGGATTTCAGTATGATGCTACCAGAGATCCAAACCGTAGACGGGACACAGTGAAACTAGCGGAGGCGCTAAAACCCAAAATACGCAACGGTGATATGCATGTAGCAGGGCATGACCACTAAACCCCATAACCAACCAAAAAAATGTGTGGCAGGGGCTGACGACTAGGTCTCAGCAGTAGAAAATGAGATTTACCAGTACGAATCGCACCTAGAGAAGGTTTGAGAAGAGCCGCGAGTTAGTTCCGGAACTCTTCGGTACGACGAAGCTGCACAGGAAGGACCAGCTCGATCCTCCAAACCAATAGTGATTCCTACACAGCTGTGAGGGGAGTCACGTCTTTGACGTTTCACAAAAGTAACAGCATCCGGTTGTCCGCATCCACCTCTGCAAGAATCATCTCGCCTCCTTGGGAGGGCCATCACATTCGATATTTAGTCCTTGGTGGACTCACATAGGCAACAACGGCCTCACGTACACTACGAATTATCCGCGGACGAACAACAGAGGAGTGACACCATCGTTCTAGCCAAAAGTCGCGATGTGCTAAAAAAGCACAGGAAGTCTACACCCACATACAGAGAAGAACACGCAGGCTCGTACTATGAACGCAGCTACATTTGCACTCTAAGTGACGCGGGGCTGTACCAGTTAAGATAGAGAGAAACTCATGTCACTCTCGCTGATGCTCGCTCTACTTTCAGGTAGTCAGAACGCATCAACCGAATGTCTGCTGTGGTGTGCTGCAAGACCTAAACTCAACACGCCAAAGCCTCCGTTCCAACAGTGGTTGAACCTGGCACTAACCCCAAGGACATGAACGCGCCAACAATCACACTTCCCAAACCAGGCACACTGTATTGCCCTGCGACACCCTAACAATACTCTCACTGTCCCGCGTTACTTCCTCTCCCCAAACATGCAGCCATACAGAAGCGTCTGAACATTACTAATAAACGCACAGACTCCGTAACACGCCGCCTCCCCCAATCTGTGATGCACCGCACCACTAACGGACGAGATTCCCTGACACAACGCTGCTGCTGCGGCAGCCTCCGCACACCACCCGAGACTTCATGGAAAGAAGCTATCGCACCGCTCTCTAGTTAACAGAACGCCCGAGGTGTGCTAAAGAAGCACCGGAGCAGAACGCGGCGACGGAGGATCTGAACACTGCTCGACTAGTTCGCTAACAATAGCATAGCATCTCACGGCGAACGAAGGTTGTAGCGCTGCACCGAGAATAGGAAATCTACTAACACCCTGTCTGGATTGTGAGAGGAAGACAGTTCCGAACTGGAACATGCTCTCTCAAGATGGCGGGAGCGGGAGTTTATTTGAATCGGGCGCGAAGGAGGCTCCCGCTTCTTTTCGGAGGGATTTTGACAGCCCGGACAAGTCGCCCACACGGGTGGCTGCTGCGTCCAGTGTCCTGCGCTACCTCTGCCCAGTCGGCGACTCGCATTTCTCATTCAATTTCGCGCAGGTCGATACATTACTCTGTGTATTTTGTTTGCGATGTCGCTGTGATGATATGAAGTTTGATACGATTTATATATAACTTTGTAAGAGGTATACAATGGTTTGCTGAGTTGGCAATGTGTAAATTGATTCCAACAGAACATGCTGCCTCTCATTCCTCTGGAAATACCAGGGCAGATTCATAATAACCACCCTGGAGATGCTTGACAAGATGAAATCATATGCACTGGTGTTGGATATTTTGACCTACAGGTCATTGGTTTGATTGATTGATATCCATGACATATTGATTGGCCTTTTCTGAGGCTCACTGCCAGGTTGGCTGTGATAGTCAAAAACTATCATAATAATAATATCCGAAAAATAAAATAAAACAAGGATAATGTATCTAAGCAAAAACTTAAGGCTGCTCTTGCATTCTGTGGTCTTTGTGGGCAAAGAGATGCCAAATAATTCATGAGGCCTGAAGCTGGAAGCTAAGGATTGAAACCCTGCAATTCCTCATGAGATGTGGCAATGCCATCGGACAGCAAGCTGTAATTAGGGCGTAGATATTGTTCGATATTTTTTTGCCACCAGGTGACTAGGTGAGTTTTACACCATCCTGGCATAAGTTCATCACATGGCCTTGCTAAGTCACTGCTAGATGTATTTTGTCTGACTGTGCCAAGTCATCACTGGACAAGTTCCTTAGACTCTTGCCAACTCATCACTACACTGAGTTGTTACCTGCTGCAGCAATGTGTGCTTTCTCTGGGGTCAAAGGTCTCCAGATCATTCAGTTCCATTTTAGCAAGGTTGTTGAGAAAATGGTTTGGTGTGACGTTCTTGTGGCACAAGGGTCCTTGTGTAACATTTGATCACAACAATTGATCAATCTCATACATAAAATATCTAAGGGGATGAACCAGAGGAGACAAAACCATCTCTAATTGATTGCATATTTCATTGTTTTCATCAAAAGTGAAGCAATAATTTATCTTCTGATCAATTAGAGATCAAAATCTGCACATTGTTGTTGCAGATTGCCATGAACAGAAATGTGAGATCATTAAGCATGGAGTTCAGAAGCTCCCAATTGTAATTTTAAGTAAATATTTTTCTGTGGCCAATGGCATGGGTTTGCAGTAATTCTCAATGATACAGAATTGTGAAGAGAAAAAAGAAAACAACGACAACAACTTTGTGATCTTCTCCCTTATGTGGTAAAGAACAGAAATGTAAACGAAAAGTGATAAAGTTAAAAGTTAGCCAAAAGCTAACTGAGAACGACGTTCTCAATACGGGGAGCTTTGTTACTGATGATGCGAACTTGCTTTCTCAAGGAGAACTGCGTCTAGGGGCTGCGAAGAAGGTAAAACTTATTTGGCGCCTGTGATGATTGCCATGCGAGGCCCAATCTCTCTCTAAAGTCTCTCTCCAACACGTATGCATGTTGCTAGGGCGGGGGTTCGAACTTGGGCGGGGCGGCAGGGAAGCGGCAGATCAAAGCCAAGTGTACGTAAAAGATCCGATAGAATGGCAAAATATAGGCAAAGATCTGACGGCTCTGCATTGGATCCTATTTTTCCAAGTGATAAATAACGTTGGGTGTTTTGAACGAGGGTGCCCCAATCCCGGGCGGATCACGGTCATGGGACCTTGCGGGATACCTTTCTCCAACGTGGGGCCCATGCCCAACCCCTTAGTTGTTCCGGACAAATATCTAATTTACCCTCCTCCTACCCAGTGGTATTTAATGTCCTCCTTATTAACTTATTTATGAATATGGATGTGCGCTTTAACTTTGCCGCATCATGGAAGGCTCAAAACTCAAGACAAAACATACTTAAAAAACAAAATAAAATCTCGGGAAGGAATTTAAATTGTTCCACGAATGTCCGATATTGGTTTTAATTTCGATCATTTATATAAATTTGTTCATATTTCACTTATACTGAGATTAACGTACACACCCACAAACGCAACTTTTCATAGAGGTGAACAACTGATTGTACGATTTAGATACTTAAGTTTAGTCTTTTTCCTCTATATTTTTAACTATGTTGATTCATATTATTACAAAAAAATAAAAAATAAAAATAAAAAAAACTATGTTTGAGCAATTTTATTTCAATATTCAACCCTATGTTTCACTTTAATTATTTTAAATCTTGAGCTTCTTTAACATAAACTGTAGCCTTGAATTTACATTATATATCAATATTCTGGTTTTCATTTTGTGATTTCGCTTATTTATTTACTTAACTTTTCGAATCTGCATTCTTTTTGTTTCTTTTTTCTGTTGGGATCATTTTTAGTTTGGATATATGAGACAGGGTTTTTGTGTTAATTTTGCATTAAATATGTTTTTTGGCATGTGTTTCAGGAACATGAATTCTAGGGTACCGAAGAACTCTAAGATGGGAAATATATAGCAACTGAATACACAGCAATACTTCTCAATGCTAGAAAATTTGCCACCTTAAATAGGCATGGTATTGTAGATAAATCACCCATTCAACCTTTCAATTTTATGTGCTTCAAGTATTTTATACAGCGATTCATTGATGAGAAAAGGACCACACATCTTTAACAACAAGTTATCTTAGTTATTTTTGAGATTTTTTATTTGACGAATTTGGGTTTCTTTTTCAGAATAATTTAGCAACTTTTTAGATAACCATGAAGGCGTAAAGATAAGTCATTATTTTCAATAATGCATACACTGTCATCTCTTCTAAACCTCTCGATTTTCAGAGACTTTGTTTTCTTAACCTTCAAATAATAATCAGGTAATGGTTGGAAAAATTACACGTTCGAATCAGTAACAACATTGTGTACGAGGAACACAATTTTGTTCTTTTGGTAGTTGTCCCTAATATTGCACAAAGTTAACATTTATATGTGACTAACCTAGAAAGTTGCACCACGCAGATACTATCGATGTTGGTGTAATTTATCACTTAAAAATCATCAGGTTTTTGGTTCTTGACAACGTGGAATTCAAATTTTCTATTTTCTAAAACAGAAATTTGTCACCAATCGTTCTCTTTCAATTATAGACATATGACATTTTAAGCTCTAATCTTGAAACTTCTCATCTCGTAAATGTCCGCAAATCATGCGAAAGGCCAACATATAATAAAGTAGTGAATTGAAGAGAACTTATGAGTGGTATCAAATTCTAGAAGTCATTTAATCTTTGGGAATGAAGTCATTAATGCTTGCCACTTGGAAACCTTCTATAAGTTAGAGGATTAGTTTTTGGCTTGAAATTGAACAACTAATAACAGCAACAATAAATGTGGCTTTGGCTGCTCCACATGGTGGCTGGTCTCCATCCTTTTCTTCACTAGGAGTCCACATGCCGCTTTAACTTATCTATGATTTTGGGCATTGGATACCCATTTTTGGTGCCCAATTTAGGCTTATGACCATACAATACTATGAAGTTGATTGAATTTTTGTTGTGAATTATCATATATGATTCCTAATAGAGTAAGCTCATTAAAGCATTGTAAGAATTGTAAATTATTGGGTTAAATGCTTTCTTATGTATAAAAGAATGTGTGTAATATATTGTGACTTTTGAGACCCAATCCTTTAAAATTTAGAAGATGAATAATTGTAAGCTCCAAGGAAGGTGCCATTTAGTTAAATGTCCTTTTCTACTACAAGTTGCATTTTTGGAAAAGTATTAATGCAAATGAAAATAAAAATATAAATACTAATTTTAGTATCTACCGTAAATGCAAAGAGTTGTATACATGTTTTTCAACAATTAACATTCTTTTCAACTGATTTTACCTCTGTAAAATTGCTACAATATTTTGATTAGAATCTCCCTTTGATTTTGATTATATTTTTTGATAACTTGTATAAAAATAGCACATTTTATTATTATTATTATTTTTTCTCGTTTTTGTTACATTTCCAATAAAAATTTGATTTTTTTCTTTAGTAGATCTTGAATAAAGTAATAATCGGATTATATTGATTTTTTATTAAAAAATAATATATTAATATGTCTATTGTCATTGCAATCCTAAACCATTAACCTGAATCTAAGGTGGTTATTCAAGTTTTGAACAATTAGTTTTTAAAAATAATTTCAATCTTATGCATGTGATTTTTTATTTTTTATTTTTTATTTTTCTCAAAACGAAATAATGTTCTTCAATATTATAGGAATGGTTGAAGTGTCAACCTGCAAAAGCCCATGTAAAACTTTAAAGCCAAAAACTGATTTTATCCAAGACTTTTTAAATAATCAAGTAAATTCTTAAAATGAGTCATGTCACTTTTTGCATCATGCACACTTGTTTTGACACCATTTGATAATTATACATACATGTATAAATATATAAGTTCAATACACATTCTACTAACTATAATATGTATATATTTCAAAATTTAAATGATTTTCACCTTACATGTAACACTATTTCTTACTTAAAATTTCAAAAGGTATACTTATACTAGTACAAAAAAGGTGGTGTAATGAATGTGATCTAATAAATATAATTTAATATATTTATACGATTTTATATTTGAAAATCTAAAAATTAGTATATATATATATATATATAATTTTGTGGTAAAAATAACAAACTTAATTTTGATTTTTTTTCATTTTAATAAGTCATTAAAGAACTTAAGCTTAGTCTTTATTTACTTTTATGTTGTTGCATATAAATTATCTATTAATAATTTCAAATATTTTATAATGATTAATTTTAGGATAATATATTTATTATATTTATTTATTTATTTATTTATTTAAAAATTACTATTATAC